GGAGAGGGACCCTCACTGGCTGACAATAGGCACAATCCTGCTTGGTCCTACAGCCCTGGGCAAGGATTGTATCCAAAATGACTCACTTTAAATTCTTGCTACTTTTAGTCTGGTATGAAAAGTACAGATCAGTACCATATAATCCAGCAATTCCACTCCTGGATCTATACCCCAAAGAACTGAAAGCAGGGGCTCAGACAGGTACCTGCACACTAACGTGCACAGCATCATCATTCACAACAGCCCAGAGGCTGTTCCTGAAGCGATCAAAGAAGGCAGGCAGCCTGTCCTCGCAAGGGAGCCAAGGAGGCGGGGTGGGCCCTAAGACCCAGGAGGAAGAGCAGAATGGAAGTTTCTATGTGTATCTCAGCTCCTAGGTTAAGGCAGTGGGGTGAGGTAGGGCATAGGAGGAAATGGGCTGGGTTGGGGTTACTGGGCTCATCAGGAGGCAGGAGGCTGCCCTGGGCTTTGCTCCCAACAGTTGGTAAGGAGATAAGGAACAGACCCGAACGAACACCGCGAGCTCCAGTGAAAGCCTGATTCTGAAACGTTTATCCCGAAGTTCATTGGGGTGCCTCATGCGGGGCTGGAGAATAAAAGAATTTCTGCCAGTGGAAGCCGGTAGCATCCACCCCTCAAAATGAAGGAAGTTGACAGCTAATTTGATCAGTGTAGATAAGACAAGAGAAGAAAATGTTAATTCAGAAGGGAAATCTAATCAAGCCGCCCTGTACCTCCGTGGGCCTCCATCACTCACACCGCTGCTCTCAAATGGGGTCCTCCGCAGTGTGCTGGGCAGGATACGGAAAACACAGATGCCCTCCTGCAGTGGGAGTTGTGCTGAATATTAATGAATCTTTGTGGTTAACTTAAAACAAGCAGTGAGATACTTTAGTCTAGCAAGCAAACTTCGAATTGTTCAGATTAAAGTTGACATTTACTAGCCACTTCCCACTGTGTGTGGGGGGGGTTGGTCCTGAGCCCCTTAAGAGGGACTTCATGGGGAACGTTTGGGGGGCCCTTCCCTGACCAAGAGTGTGGTGCCCTGGCCACTGCCTCCCTCTCAGTCCAACTCAATCCAACTAACCCAGCTCAACAAACATTTCATGACTAGCTGGAGGCAGCCCTGCCAAGTGGTAAAAACACAGGCTTCATCCTTGACTAGCTGACTGACCTCGGGGTGATCCTATTACTACCTGGGTTAGCATCTCTGAACCACAGTTTCAGGTTTTATTTTTCCTAAAACTGGGATTAACAGCAATACCTCCTTTATAGGTTGTAATGAAGAGTGGAGAGTAATCAGCTCAATAAATATAAATGATGATGATGAAATTCTAGGATATATTCTATAATGATATTCTAGCATTATGCTCTTAACCTTCTGAGCCTTTGCACATGGTGTTTTCTCTGCCTCAAACTCCCTTCCCTACCTTCTTGCTAACCTCCCCTTAAGTCTCAGGCCCTGTGTCATGTCCCCTGGGTCACTTTCCCTGACCTCCTCCTTCAGACACTGTTTCCCCGGGACAGTTAGGTCAGGGATTCTTTCCCCTGGGCAACCCCAGTCCCTTGGCTTTCTGCCTTCCTAGCGTGTAGCCCACAGAACGGAGGACAGCAATCATTTTAAACATGCACACACATGCATGCACACACATACATACACCCACCACACACACACGCACACACACACACACAACAATTATCTTGGGCTTCAAGAGGCAGGAGACCCTGTCTTTGAGAGTCAGTAGAGTAAATGTTTGAGTCTTCGGAACCAGACTGCCCGAGTTCAAATCCTGCCTCTGCCTCTTCTTAGCTCTGTGACCTTAGGCAAGTTACTGAATCTTTCTGTGCCTCAGTTTCCTCATCTGTAAGAATGGAGACAATGATAGTAACAGTACTTCCTTAGACCATGGCAACCCGGCTCCTGTGCTGTGGGAACCTGGCTCCTGTGCTGTGGCTCCTGCTCTGGCCTCCTCCAGCCACGTCCTTCCCAGGGGACCGAGGGGACATTCCACTGGCATCCTCAACTATCCCCTCCACACTGTGTTCTGGGTGCACCGGACTCCAGAATTCCCAGCCCAGGCAGCCTCTAACCCATCCGCTTGCCGGGCCTCCAGGACTTTTTACCTAGTCTGTCTTCCTTTGGGCAGACAGCACCACGGACACTCCCAGGCCTGGGGGGTGGCCAAGCGGCCACTGTATGGGAAAGGTTTCTGGACTGAGCTTGAACGTGAGACTAAGGATAGAAAGGGAAGGGGACGAGGAGCTCTCTATGTACGTTGACACTGGTCTGCAGGAAGCTGTGCAGTGTATGACGCTAGCTAGCCCTTCTTGCAGCTGCTAAACCTTCAGAAAAGTTTACCAAACTCATACATGCTTACTGTGAGTGGAGTGCACGTGTATGTGTGTGTGTGTCACGCAGAAGTGGGGAACAAGCTTGCTTTCACGTTGGGGTCAGCACGGGGTAGGTAAGAACAGCACAAACAAAAAGTTAAGAGACTTAGAGGCTGAGGAAAGTTAGCCTCTTGGGCTTAGCAAAAACAGCACAGGTGCATGTGGATCTCCCTGGGCCAGGGAAGTATCTGAAGGTGGCTGACATTTTTGCACCGGGGTCTCCCGGGGGCAAGGGACCACGACTGACATTTGGGTCACGTGACCTGAGAACAAGTACTTATACAAAGAGTCAGGGGACCCTCACAGCTGGGATGAGAACCACTGTCTGGAGATAGTACAGACTCGCTGGCTAAAGCAGAGAACACGGACGGGCTGCAGACTGCTCTGGGGCAGGAATCCAGAGACAGGGTGGTCTATAGGGTGGGGAGGAGAAGAGAGGCAGAGGGGGACCCTCGTCATGACGCTGGTTTCCTTGGTTCGTCTCCCCTCACTAGAGCCTCTGCTTCTCGAAACAGATGCTGGGTCACACTTATCTCTCTGTTCTCAGGGCCTATTATGTGCCTGTCAGCAACAAGGCACTAATAAATGTTTGTTGAATAAACAAATTAATAGAAATGTTTTTGCATATAAAACATGATATGTTGCTTAAAAATTCAATTTGTGCTCAGCTTTGCAGACGCACATCAATAGTTGGTTATTTTAATTACGTTCAGCTTTTCCTGTGCAACATTCATGAAGTGGACTGTGGCAGTAACATAACTAAACTAATCAGTGTAGAAAGCTAAATGGGATTATCCAAGGTCGATTTTGACCCTCAATTATATGATATGGCGACCAGTATTTGGGACAGATTAAGAGGCAGTGTGGTCCAGGGGGATGATCAACTCCCTTGGACAAACCTTCAAGGTTTGAATCCTTGCTCTGTCCCTCACCATCTGTGTGAATTTGGGCAAGAATCAAATCCTTCCTCTGCCATACGAGGGAAATAATATTTACTTCCTAGGACGTGCCATTTATGGTGATGGCATGAGGATGTAAGTGGAATATTCAGTAGAATTACTTTAATTTCAGGTACTGCTATTCTTGAATGCAAATCTTTAATCATGGTGAACCTGAGGTGGAGACAGGTAAGTTGCTTCAGGCATCAGCTCCCAGCTCAGGATCCAAGTACCATGAATGACAGAACACCTGACTCTGCCTGGCTTTAATCCAAAGCCTGTGACCCAGCATTCATTGAGATTCAATATGAAATCTGATCCCAAGCACTGAAACAATATTTAATATCAGCCCGTCGTGCCACTGAGTTCTGCTGTAATCTGTTTTCAGATTTGCTGAAGTTTTCTTTTCGATTTTATTAGCAACTATTTCAAATGAAATTGGCACCAGACAATTGGATTACTGAATTGTTGACTCTTATATCCTACTAGACAGTGAAAAGCAAATGTAATTTTCACCAGTTACATGTCAAGCCTTGGCCTAGAGAGACATAGTGGGAAAGGATCTGAATGGATGAGAAACCCAGATGCGGGCTCTTTCTCTGAGCATTGCTTATGTTCGTAAAACAGGACTCGAAAGGGTTAAGGAATCAGCTCCTTATTGCTTCCGCAGTACATATTCATATTCACCAAACTTCGTTCCTTTAAGACAACATTTTAGCACGCCTTATCCTCCAAGTAATTCTTCAAGGAAAAACAGGTCAGATGAAGGGCATGGACGTTAGGGCCAGAGAGAACCAGATTTAATTCTTATTCCAGCATGATGGTGTTTCGTCTGAAGACAGAAATTACAAGACCTCCTGGCAAACTTGTTAAAAAATTAAAAGAAATGGTCATATACAGGAATGGGCCAATCATTCCCGATTCTCCCCTCTTTTTACAGATGGCAGCTCATCTATTCATTCATCTATCCGGCAGGTAATATTTTTGTCAGATCCTAAGGGGGCAGAATGTATTATTATTGTCAATTATTTGCTTTTTTGCTTTGTCTGGGTCTTTGAATGTGAAAACACATGGGACAGACCTGAATTCAATCTGCAGCATTGAATAAAACAATGTAACTCACTGAGGTTTGGCCGGTGTTTGTTAACACATTAAATGCTGACTAATACACTATCTGCTTAGGGTAAAAGACTGAACAAGACAGACCCTGTTTCCAACGCATGGAGGTTATAATCTAAGGAGGAAGCTTTTAAACAGTAGTTATATGTGGACCTAGAGTCTGTCATACAGAGTGTCAGAAAGAGAAAAACAAATACCGTAGGCTAATGCATATACATGGAATCTAAAAAAAAAAAATGGTACTGATGAACCTACTTGCAGGGCGGGAATAAAGAGGCAGACATAGAGAACGGACTTGAGGACATGGGGTGGGAGGGCGAAGCTGGGGTGAAGTGAGAGTAGCATCAACATATATACACTACTGAATGTAAAACAGTTGGCTGGTGGGAAGCGGCAGCACAGCACAGGGAGATCGGCTTGGTGCTTTGTGATGACCCAGAGGGGTGGGATGGATGGGGGGGTGGGAGGGAGGCTCAAGAGGGAGGGGATATGGGGACACGTGTATGCATATGGCTGATCTGCTTGGCTGTGCAACAGAAACTAACACAGTATTGTGAAGCAATTATACTCCAATAAAGATCTATTAAAAAAAAGTAGTTATAATAAATTGTGCATAGTGATCCCTGGTGGACAAGGGAGGGGCTATGGGAACGCGCAGCCGGAGACCACATCCTATTTATGGGGTCAGTGGCCACAGACCAGCCTACAGGCCTGGGCAGTTTCTTGGCTTTTTTATGAGCTGGGATGTGGATCTCATGGAAGGTAAAAGAATGGCATCTCAAAGATGCACATGTCCTAGTCCCCCAGAATCTGTGGATACAGGTGTGATACAGCGAGAGGCTGTTAAGACAGCATTAAGATCGCTAATCAGCTCACCTTAAAATAAGGACATTATCCTGGACTGTGTGGGTGGGCCCGATGCAATCACAAGGGTCCTTTAAAGTGGAAAAGCAAGGCTCAAGGGTGATCCTCAGGGTCAGGAAGGGACTGGGAGCTGCTACTTGCCGGATCTGAAGATGAGGGAAGCAGTTCCAAGGCAAGGAATGCAGAAGCCTCTAGAAGCTGGAAAGGCAAGCAAACGGCGGATTCTCCCTCAGAGCTTCTAGAAGGAACGCAGCCTTGCCAACACCTTGATTTTAGGCCAGTGAGACCTATTTCAGACTTCCAACCCTCCAGAATCGTAAGATAATAAATTTGTGTTGCTTTAAGCCAATACATTTGTGGTCATTTGTTCAAGCAACCACAGGAAACCAATACAGATCCAACTCTGTCTCCAGAGCCTTTGGTTCCCGGGGTGTTAACTTCCTGTCTCCTATCCCGTGTGCTCTGAGCCCCTCTAATCATTTTAACTTGCTTCAACACCAACCCCAGAGGCATCGGGGGAGCCACAGGGGGTCGAACCCATCAGCCCAGTGTCCGGTTTCTGGTAGCGTGGCCAGGGTAGAGGGCCACTGGGCATGGGAGGTGCAAGGGGCACTTGAGGGTCACCCAGTCCATCCCCTCATTTGACAGCTGGGTGACTAAGGTTCAAAGATGGGGAGAAACTTGCCTAAAGTTCAGAGCCAGAGGGAAGCTGGACTTCCAGGATGAGATGCTTCCCTCATAAACACAAGGCAAACCACATTCCTTCCCCAGGAGCTCACCAGTCATGGTGCCACATGACAGTCACTACGACATGGCGGTCATCATGAAGAAGATGGAAGGTCTGGGGGAGGGGGAGAGTAGGGGGAGGTTTCAGACACTGCCTTCATCTGTCTGAAGGGCTGCATGAGGAGGATAAATTCCTTCGGAGCCTGGGAAAGATGGGGTGTGTGAAGGAGTTGCAGCAGAGATGGGATGCGCTGGATTCCACCGTCTTGCACTGGCCCCGGCGGCAGCATCCTTGCACCGGCTGGTACCAAGGTCCCTTCCAACCCTGAGCTCCCTGTCCGGGCGAACAGCGGTGCAGGACGGCTGTGCTCCCCGACAGCACCTGTAAAGCTCAGGGTGGGCTCTTCCCTACCTCTCCCCACCCTCCCTTTTGCCAAAACCAGCAGGAGCAGCTTTCGACTCTGTGCTTTGTCATCCCACTCTCTGTGCCTCTTCCCGCTCCGTTCCAGGCCGCTGGGAGATATATTTGTCTGACTTCAAAATGCCCCTAACAGCCAGCGGCTGTCGGGTGAAGGCAACACGCCAGGGCTGAGCTCATTTGCGAGCAGCCCTCTCTGAGGTTCAGACCTGGCTCGCCCAGCGCCGGCCAGAGCCTCCTGCGGCTGCCCGGCTGCCTGCTGCACCCGCCTCGCCCCTGCTGCCTGCCAGCCCCACCTTTCTCTTCTGTAGAAGAAAGACTCCCAGTGGCCCCATTACTGTGAGGCCGGGACAAACTCAGGTATCATCGTACCTGGGCTCCAAAGGATCATCTCCGAGCCCCGGAAAAGCCTCAAAGCCGCTTCTGAGACCTCTGTGATGTTTCTGCCAGGGGGCAGGCAGCGTTAGGGCCCGGAGAGTTTAATCCCGAGGTTCAATTAGCGTACCCACCACCCTTCCCGGGCACCACCCCCAGCCTAATCTCCCTTTCCCCCAAATACCAGTAACACATTTAAGGTGTTTTCACTTACCTCTGGAAAACAACATTATGGCCTTATTATCCTACTTTTCTGTAAGAGAACTGTGTCCGGGCAGGGCGTGAAGGTGGGGTGCTGACGGGGAGGGAGGGGGTGATGACGGCACATTCGCTGCTCCCCGGGGGGCCTCAGCAGATTTCCATAAAGCAGCCCCTCCGTTCTCACCCTCCCATTGAGGATCCAACTTGGAAAGAAGGTCACTGACCCTGGTTTAGATTTCACTGTGTCTGTTTGCTGTCTTACATTCGGGGCCTTTCCTGATGTGTAATTTTCCTTCTTCTCTTTCTATGTCACCTGCATGAGAGAAAGGAAGACAGAGGCAGAAGGAGGTCACAGCAAGACCCTCGTTCCTTCTTATTCCTAAACAAAGTCTCCGGTGGGAAGGGAGAGCTTTTCAGATTTATCAGTTGCAGCTGAAAAAAAAAGTCCTGATGGGTAGGGAGGGATGTGAATATGGTTCAGGAGCAAAAAAGAAAAAAAGGATTTTATTTTTCAGATATTTTGAGTAAAAAAAAAAATCAAACCGGGATTCTTGAAGGTTCATGTAAGACAGGAGGAGGGGGCTGAGGAAGTCACCTGAGACCTCGATATTTTACATTTTATTTAGACTTGACATTTTATTGTAGGACATTGTTCTTCTCAAGAACAGTTATAATGTAAATAGCCATCTTTTCTACATCATTAAGGTCACACTGGGATGTGAGGGTTTCCATCCTCACCTAAGGCCTCAGTTTATACTATTTCTTTAGTCTTACAGGAAAGACGGAGGTACAGAGGCTCCGCTGAGTGCCTTTGTACTGGGAATACTGGGTCACATGTCCTCAAGAACTCTCCACTTTCTAAATGAGGAAAGTGAGGCTCAGAGAGTTTAAATACCTTGCCTGGGTCTGCACGGTGAATGAGTGAATGAAGGAATGAATGAACGAAGTGTATCCAGGAGCAGTCTGAGTGTGCCAGGCGGTGCTTCCCCACCACTCACAACTGCCCCGACACTGACGAGGCCCTGGCACCTCGAAGCCTCCCCTGCAGCTCCAGATTCACTTCTCTGACCGCCTTGTTCAGGACACTAACCCCAAGCAAAAGAGTTTACAAGTAAATTCTTGATTCTCTCCCCCCATCCATCCTCCAAGTCCAAAACTAGATCCCCCCACAGTGCTATGGTTATGTACTGCTGCGTAACAAACCACCCCGAAACCTGGTGCCTTAAAACAAGTATCATTTTGTTCTATCTTATCAATGTGCGGCTCAGGAATTTGGGCAGGACTCAGCTGAGTGATTCTTCTCTTCCACGTGGCTTTGACAGAGGTCACTAGGGGATTTTCAGTTGGCAGATGGGCGGTTCTGGAGGGTCCACTCACACGTCCAGTGCTCGATGGGCATAGTGGGAAGGCTGGATTTAACTGGACTTTCAACTGAAGTTTCCATATATGGCCTATGGAGCCAGCCGGGTGGTCTTAGGTAGTCAAACTTCTTACATGGCTGAAACTGTGTACTTCCTACATGCAAAACACGGAGTCTAATTACCTCTCCTTGAATATAGGCTGGTCTTAGTGCCTTGCTTCTAGTGAACAGAAGTGATGCTGTGTGACATTCAGGGATAGGTTAGAAAAGGTGATAAAGTTTCCATCTTGCTCACTGTCTTAGGCAGGGCCTTGCAGTACTGGGCAGATACATACAGGCTAGGCAACCTGGAAGCTGCCATGCTGGAGGGAACAGGTGGAGAGACTACACAGAGTTAGAGATGCCCAAAGGGCCCAGGCTGCTCTTGTCCCCAGCTGTTCAAGTTTTCCCAGCTCAGGCACCAGCACTATGAGTGAGAGATCCTTCAGATCACTCCAGCCCCCAGCCTTCAAGCCACCAGCATGGCTGAGTGGAGACAAGCATTCTTCACTGTGTCCTGTATGAATTTCTGACCTTCAGAATCCGTGAGCATAGTATGTGGCTGCTTGACAACATGAAAATTTTGTGTAACTTGTTTTACAGCCAAAATAAGTGGGACAGTGACAACCTAGGGACCCGAGAGTGTGCATATGCTCCAGTTAAGAAGAGGGACACTTCCTGGTCTTTTATGACCCGATCTTGGACATCATAGTCACTTATGCCGTACTCTATTGGTCAATGCAGTCACCAGATTTGAGGGGAGAGGAGCCAGGACCTACCTCTTGATGGCAGGGAGGTAACAATTTGCTGCAAGATTTTTAACATCTCCACAGCCAGTGTTCACCATCTCAATAAACGACAGCCGCTTCTACCCAGCAGTTTAAGCCAAAAACTTGGCCATCCTTCTGCATCTCTCCTTCTCCCTTACCTCACACCCAATTCACCAGCAATGGGCAAATCTGGCTGAGTTTCCCTCCACAATATTTGTGAATCCATCCATGTCTCTCCCTCTCTCCTGCTGCCCTAGTCAAAGCCACCATCATCTCTTGCATGGGGTATGTCCAGAGCTTCCCAAAAGACCCTCTGCTCAAAGTTCCTCTGTTATACTATCCATGCATCACCAGAGGGATCTTTTAAAAATATACAAATTGGGGCTTCCCTGGTGGCACAGTGGTTGAGAGTCTTCCTGCCAGTGCGGGGGACACGGGTTCGTGCCCCAGTCCAGGAGGATCCCACGTGCCGCGGAGCGGCTGGGTCCGTGAGCCATGGCCACTGAGCCTGCGCGTCCGGAGCCTGTGCTCCGCAACGGGAGAGGCCACGGCAGTGAGAGGCCTGCATACCGCAAAAATATATATATAAAAATAAAAATATACAAATTGGATCCTATCGTTGCCCTACTGAAAGCCCTTCAATATTTTCCACTGTAGTCAATGCGAACTTAATGATCCACTCCTTGTTTACATTTCCAATCCCACGTCAGGTCACCCTCCTCCTTCCATCTCCTTGGCTCATGCCAAGCTCTTTGCCACCCTAGGGCCATTCTATATGTTGTTCTCTTTGCCAGGAATCCTTTTTTTTTCTAGGTTCTTTGTGTGTCTGTCTCCTTCTTTAGGTCATCGCTTAAATGTCACCATCTCAGTAAGACCTGCCCTGACCACACTAGCTAAGAATGTCAATCTCCCTTTCCCACAATCCTCTTGCTTAGCGTCTCGCTCTTGCTGTTGTTTACGTACGGGAGTTGAAATTTACACACTACAACTCAGAAATGCAAAACAATAGCTTAATTTTTTTCTCTGTAGGAGATCTCAGTCTTCCCTAGAGTCCTCCTTATTCGGCTGTTGGAACCAGTAACGGTTGTAGGTGATGGGGAGAATATAAACTCACCCTCCTCCGTTCTAAAACAGCTTATTTCAGGTAAGTTCAGCCTCTTTTGGGAAAATGCTCCATCCATTCTAAGTCCAAACTCTCTCTCAGAACGATCCCCTTCCCCTTTCCATTGTTCTCCTCTCTCCATCCATTTTCCCAGGTACTGTCTAGGTACTCAGGGATGCTTTTGCCAGAACTGGGAGAAGGTGGTCTCTGTGTGCTTCATCTCCTGATGTTTCCACTGTAGTGTGGCCAGTTTGGTCTAATACTGGGTCACCAGTGTGCGTGCTAGTGTCCTCTGAGGTATGCCTAATCCTGTCTGGTTCTTTTGGATGTCAGGTGGGACAAGCTGCTAAAATCCCTGCCATTTCACTCTAGCTACGGTGATGCAGCTCTCTGTGGACTCTTTCTCCAGCTTCAAACCTCTGTGGGTCCACTGTCCACTCCGGGACCAGCCCCTCCCCCAGTGTACTTGGGAACTTCTGGACTGCCTAAGGATGGGGGCTGGCAGCACCACCTTGGGGCCATCCATCAATGAGCCTCCCCCTGCTCCTGCTGCTCTACTGGCTCCTCTTCACCATGAACATGCGAGAGAAGGTGGAGAAGAGGGGCACTAGCTGGACATTGTCACACCCGCTGTCACTCACATGGGGTTCTATTGCATTGCGCCATCTTGCTGCTGACTCAAGGCTCTGTGTGGGGAAGGTGCTTCTCAGAGGCGAAGGCAGCATCTCCAGCCTGGATGGGAACCCTCCAGGTCTCTTTGCTTCCTCCTGCTATGAAGAGTAGTCCACTTCCTCCCCTTCTCAGGTGGGAACTTGCCTTGCCCGACATCTCCAGTCTCTTTATGTTTGGGGTGACTATTTTGGAAATCAAAAGTTCCATATGGAATCCTTCTCAGCGTTCCTGCTTTCAGTCTCCTAACCCTCCCGAAAGCAGTGGATTCCTCTGGCTCAGTGTAAAGATGGTGTAAAAGGAAGCATTAAAAAAACATACACATGAAGCAGCATGTGTGAGAGTTTGTGAGGCTGCATGTGACTGGTGCCTGCACGTATGTCATCTGTGTGCATATGTATGTGTGTGTCATGTGTGTGCCCATGTGTGAACGTATAAACATGCACTTATGTGTATTGACTTATGGAGATACATAAAATTGTCCCTATTGTATCTACTTCAAGATACTTAACATGACTTGTTTGTTTATTGTCAGCTTTTCTCACTAGAATATAAGCTCCATAAAAGAAGAGACTTGCCTGTCTTGTTCATCACTGTATTCCCTGTGTCCTAGCACAGTCCCTGACCCACAGCTGTTGCTCAGAAGCATTTGTTGAATGAATGAATGAATTGGATCCATATGGCTTGAGATCCATTTAACTTATGATTTTACCCTTGTCACTAAGGTCTCTTAATTTCTGTAATGCTCAAGAATTGAGTACGTTTATGAATGAAGAAAAGTACCAATATGTATTGATTATGTCCTGTACTGTGCTAAACATTAAGATGAAAATCTCCTTTAATCCTTGCAATTATCCTGTGAGACACGAAGCATTACCATTTCCATTGCACGTAGGGTAGGTTGGGGCTCAGAGAAATGAAGTGACTTTTCCAAGGTTGAAAAGCCAAAAAGTGGCAAAGCTGCACTGGAATTCATATTCGTCCGACACTAGATCCGCTACATTACTTTGGGAAAAGAAGGCGGGGACAACGAGGCTGCCTGCTCACAGCGCTGTGAGGATCAAATAGGTAACGTGGGACTAGAACAACTCCTGGCACAGAATACACAGCTGACCCTTGAACAGTGGGGCATTAGTGGCTGACCCTCTGTACAGTCTAAATTTTGCATGTAATTTACAGCTGGCCTGCTGCTGTATCCAGCAGTTCCATATCTGCGGATTCAACCAACCGCGGACCCTTTAGCACTAGAGGATTTACCACTGAAAACAATCCTCATGTAAGTAGACCCACACAGTTCAAACCCGTGTTGTTCAAGGGGCAGCTGTACTACTCATATTAGCGGTCCTATTGTTTTATCTGTCCTCTTCATAGTGTCCATTTTCCTTTCAAGAGAAGAGGAATAAATAAAATCCACATCTCGAAGCTAAAGGGCACTGGCAAACCACCTTTTTACCCTCTCCCCTTCCTTCTTTTCTCCTACTTTCTTCTTGACAGAAACAGGCAGAACCAGGTGAGAGCTTCACCTGCAGGTGTCACAGCTGAAATTGGAGGGGGTTATCTGACACTTTCAAAGGCTTATTTCAGGGGTGGAGAATGAGAAAAGCCACACAGAAATTAAGGTCATAGTTGTGAAGATGATATTGCATGTCTTACTGGAAAGGAAGGATGGGACAGAGCCTCCGTAGCTGGGAGGGCTCCAAGTAGGATAGATGCAGGGCGGGTAGGGGAGGGCACTTAGGCTGTGCCTGTAAAGAGGTAGCAGAATCCAACATACATGGTGCCCAGAATGACTTTGGGGAGGGGTCTCCTACTCTCTAGAGGACCAGGGCACTAGATTCGGGCTGCTTTCCGTAGGAGTGAGGACTAACGCCATCGAGACCAGAGCCAGTGTCCAGAGCAGAGCTGGAAGTGAGAGTCAAGGAGACTGCAACCGAAAGCGATATCCAGAAAGAGGAAAGTCAGACCTTCGGTAGCAAGAAGGAAGTAGAGATGCAGTCAAGAGGGCTTCAAAGAGGAAGGTTAATGATGGGACCTGGCCAGCATCCCCACCCCTCACAGAGCCCCCGGGGCATTCTGTGAGCTGTATCTGTGGACCCTCTTCTAGGGGAAGGGGGGTGGCCTGATCTTCTCTCATCCTTTTCCATATTCTTAAACCAAATAAAGGTTTTACAATGACTTGTGTAAACTACAAGTACTATAAAACCACGGGAGATTGTTCATATTATAATCTTCATTGTCTCTCCAGAGTGGAAGAGGGAGAGAGGTAGGAACTCGGGAACAGGAGATGGTCTTGAGTTGTTAAAGACCATCTTTCCAGTCCCTTCAAAGGAAAGAATCCCATCTTTAGATTTGAGAAAAACTGACCTTTGGGAAGCAAGAACCATGAAAGTAGGCAGCTTGGGGTCCCACTATGGGGGGAGTCTCACATTATAGAAACTGGAGAGTCACGGAATATCAGAGCTCAGAGGGACCTGAAAGATGGTCTGTGCCTGAAGTTTTCAAACCTTCTCCTGCAGAGCGCAGGATGCTGCAGAGCTGCCGGGAGGGGTGGCCGTGGAGTGTCTCTCAGCCCTTGTTCCTATTTCAACCTAAACACTGTTACTTTAATGCTCTTTGTGTTGGATTTCTGCATAAGGTTCTGCTGTTGCTGCAGGAAATGTGCAAAGCTCTGCTCTATTCTGATTCACCCAGTGCATCAGAGGAAGAAAGGAAGTCCTCGTGTGAGCAGAACACTCCCAGAGCACACAGCTAGTTTGGGGCAGACAAGGGACTTCAGCCTGGCACCCTTCCCTAGCGTCCAGAAGGGAACAAATGGGATGAGTTCCTTCCAGGAAGAATTTGTTTCCCCCCAAGGTATTTCCCGAGTTCCAGCAAGTGGCCTGGTAGGACCCAGCTGGCTGTCTCTCCACTGGATGCCATAACTGATAAACAGCCCTAGGACAGGACCAGGTTGCCTCAGGTGTTTATCATCTCAGCCAAGGAAGGCTTGACTAGGAGACAAAACACCTCTTCATACATTTGCATCAAAATGCTCTGCAACCTTTGACTCCAGCACTGCCTTTGTTAGCCCAAGAGCTCTATTATCAACTCTATAAATCTGGCAGTGGCATTTGCACATGCCTCCGTAGGCTCTATAACATTCCTAGGCTGTCAGGACATTCAGAGAGGTGAGGCAGGAACAACATGCCACTGGGGTGAGAGGTGAGCCTCTTCACACCTATGCTGATGAACCAGTGGGTACAGCTTGGGTGAGGGAGGCGCACCGGTTACTGATCACAGGCAAGAAGTTAGGCACTGCCCTAGGCACCCTGCGTGAACATCATTCGATCCTCATGACAGCCTGAGAAGTGAGTATCTATTGGTTAGAGGCTCAGATCAAAACTACAATGAGGTATGACCTCACACCGGTCAGAATGGCGATCATCAAACAGTCTACAAGTAATAAATGCTGGAGACGGTGTGGAGAAAAGTGAACCCTCCTACACTGCTGGTGGGAATGTAAATGTGTGCAGCTGCTGTAGAGCACGGTATGGAGGTTCATCAAAAAACTAAAAATAGGGGCTTCCCTGGTGGCGCAGTGGTTGAGAGTCCGCCTGCTGATGCAGGGGACACGGGTTCGTGCCCCGGTCCGGGAGGATCCCACATGCCGCGGAGCGGCTGCGTCCGTGAGCCACGGCCGCCGAGCCTGCGCTTCAGGAGCCTGTGCTCCGCAACGGGAGAGGCCACAACAGTGAGAGGCCCGCGCGTACCGCAAAAAACAAACAAACAAACAAAAACTAAAAATAGAGCTCCCATATGATCCAGCAACCCCACCTGGGCATATTCTGGAGAAAACTCTAGTTCAAAAAGATACATGCACCCCTGTGTTCATAACAGCACTATTGACAATAGCCAAGACATGGAAGCAACTTAAATGTCCATCGACAGATGAATGGATAAAGAAGGTGTGGTACATCTATACAATGGAATATTACTCAGCCACAAAAAGGAATGAAATAATGCCATTTGCAGCAACATGGATGGAGCTAAAGATTATCATATTAAGTGAAGTAAGTCAGACAAATATCATATGATATCACTTATATGTGGAATCTAAAAAAAGTGATACAAATGAACTTATTTACAAACCAGAAATAGGCTCACAGACTTAGAAAATAAACTATAGTTACCAAAGGGAAAAGGGGCGGGGGAGGGATAAATTAGGAGTTTGAGATTAACAGATACACACTACTATATACAAAATAGATAAATAACAAGAACTTACTGTATAGCACAGGGAACTATATTCAATATCTTGTAATAACCTATAATGGGAAAGAATCTGAAAAAGAATATATAACAATATATAAATATCATTTTATATATATATACACACATATATATAACTGTATCACTTTGTGTACACCTGAAACTAACACATTGTATTATAAATCAACTATACTTCAATAAAAAATTTTTAATTAAAAAAAATTTTTTTAATTAAAAAAAAAAGAACGGGTTAGGCTCTGTGATAGTAATGCATAAACCTTGGAATCTCAGTGGCTGCACATAATGAAAGTTTACAAGTCACGCAAACCCAGACTGGGTTGTGAAATGGATGCATTACAGGGTCTTCTTTCTCTTGGCCAGGTCTCTCCTGCTATATCTAAAATCAAGTTCATCCCGCTACCTCTAGGATTGATCCTTTTCTACTTATTTATGGTCTAGACCACACAAGACATTCATAGCTCTCCTATTAATGAAACCTATACCTTATTCCTTGGGAAATAATACAATGGCCTCATGATGCCAGGGGAAAGGCAACCCCTTCCTGCCCAGACTTAGATTAAAAAGCACTCATTGTGCATGAAATTAAAGAGTATCACACTGGAATTCCTTCTTTTTATTACCTAGGAAATGAAATTTAGAAGTCTCATTTCACCCCAACACAAATATAGCTGTTTCATGAAAAATGACAATACTGATTTCATTCATGACATAATTAACGGGGTGAGAAACAAACACTTAAAACCCAAATATGGGGTTTAGTAGGCTTGGTAAAACTTTTATGATTAGCTATAAACAATCAGATTTAATGAAGCAATACATCTGCTCATACAAAGTATAAATGATTATTAGAGTTGCAGACAAAACATTCCTACTCACAGAAGACCTAATGGAATGAAAACAGTAATTACAATGCCAAAAATATTGTTAAGTGTTAAAATTGACACCGGGAAAATGAAACACTTTGCTTAATTTCTGATAATGTTACATGTTGAGACATGACATGTCTGGCATTTCAATTGACACAAAACCTTGTTTTTTAGTTCAAACACATTTCAGACTTTCACACTCTGCTTTGCAATATGATTTCCCAAAGTTTGGCCTCGCTCCCTCAGATTGCAGGGTGCAGTGGGTCCAAGTTATATTTCCTTTCTTCTTGTACATTACCTAACCTCAAGAGTTTTGTTTTGTTGCTGTTTTCCCTTTTAAATGCAAGTCAAATTCTGTGATCTGGAATACCACTGCTTGCAAATGTCAGCTCCCCTCCCAAGAGAAGCAGCACGTGTGTGGACAAAATGTATAACTCAGGTCCCACAGAGATCCAGGAACCATATTCTACCTCTGCTCATACGACATCTGATACTACAGATAAGCAAGATGTAAAGGGGAGACCATTTTGCATTTTGTCTGATGTCTCTGGACGAGCAAAATATTGCCTAGAAACGGTTTACAATTTCTATTTGAATATATTCCCTGTAATATATGCAGGTTTCTACAAACAAAAGGAACCCCACACATTTCAGCAGGCCGACAGTCTGAAAGCGCCCTCTCCTCAGAGCGCTGAAATCAGCACCATTTGAACAAAGCAGCCTGTCCTTTTAAGAAAAATCCCTCTATAGAAATGCTATAATTTCCCTGTTACAAAGGAGCCTTTTTCAGAGCACGTAAAGTGCCAGTTTGTTCAGTGTGACCTCTGCTTTCATTCTATCAAGGTTGTATCTGATTACAATTTAAGACAGATGAAGGGGATGCCTTTCGAGGCAAAGAAGAAAAAAAGTTTTAGTCTTGGGTCACTTGCAAAAGTGGTTCATCACTTTTATTGGCAACGTTTTCAATAACATTTTGGGGGTGGTTCTCCTATGTCAGTCTGAAAAGATGTCTGGGATACATTTTCAGGGCTTTGATGTGCTTATTGGGAGTTGACCCACATGGGAAATGCCGTGCTGCTACTTTCTTTCCGGAAAGCAAGGTGGCTGAACCGGAGAGGGTCTCAGCGGACATCACATCTGCATGGGGCCTCCTTGTGTGTCGGGCCATTCGGTTGCCTAAGCCTGCACTGGCCCACAGTCCAAATCCTACAGGAGCTGATGTGACTTCAGAAGGAGCTCTGTGAACTGTGAAGAACAGTGCAGACGTTCTTTGTGTATTACTGGAGACAGAAAACCATGGTGGTAAAGAGTCCAAAAGAGCTGGGTCTTAAAGCCTGGCTCTACTACTTACTAATTCTTGCAAACATTCTATATTATTCACATAATTTGGGCTAATCAGCTCCCTGAGCCTCAGTCCCATCCTCTACCTCACAGGGTTATCAAGAGTTAAATGAGATAATGTCCATCATTCTCTGGGCACAGTGCCCAGGACATAGTAAGTGTTCAAGAAATGTCAGATGTGATTATTTTTTGTAGTTCCGGTATTTTGAAGGAGAGATAAAGCCCTGGGAAATCTTGCCCTCCCTGAAACCCGTGGGAGGGAACACAGTTGAGTGTAATAAAAGTGGCACAGACATTGGAGTTAGACTTGTATCCTGTCCCCCGTCTGAGACCTTGGCTTTATCTTCCTGTCATCGAGTTTCCCAAGTATAGAAACAAAGATACTTTCTACTTCGTAGTTCCTGGCCTATGGGATAGGTCCATACATGTTTTATGAATGCAGGGATGAGATAACAAATGGAAAGCACTTTGTACGTAGCAGATGCTTTAAAAATGTCACACTGTATTTACGGGTTGGATTATCTCCGCCTCAACGGGTAAACTGTGCTCCTTTCAGCGCTACCTTTGAAAGTACATCCAGCCCCACCGTATGCCTTTGTCCAAACCTCAGCCCCTACTGGGAGCAGCCAACTCCTCCCTAAGGTCCCTACAGCCACTCAGACTGCCATCTGTCCCCTGCCCAGCAGTCTGGAGGGATCTTTCTAAAAATATGGAGTAAATCATGATGCCCCCTGCTTGGACCCTCCAGTAACTCCTGTTGCTGTCAGAGTGAATCCACCATCCCCACCCGGGCCCCTCCCGGCTGCCCATCTAGCCTCACCTGCTGGGGCTCTGCCCTTCACTCTTTCCCACCTGGCAACGCTCTTGTCCTTCTGTTCCTCTAACACAGCAAGGACTTGGCTGTGCCCTCTGCCTGGACTTTTCTTCACCCAGATTTTTCCTGGCTCCTCTGTCTCTTCATTCATGTTTCGGTTCACATGTCTTCCCTCCAAGAGGCCCCTTGACCACCTAGGTTCCCCTCCAGCCCAATCACCTCTTGACCATGACCACTTTACTGTCTCCCTGGCAGCTCTCGCTCCCAAACATTCTCCTCTTTTTTGTTTTTGTTTTTTTTTTAATCATTTTTCCTATCTCTCTCCCCGACTGAATTAAACCTGAGATCAGGTGTTTTGTATGTTATCGGTCACCCTTGTATCACCAGAGCCTAGGACATGTGCTGGCATAGAGTAGGTGCTCAATCAATGTTGGCTTAATGAATATTGATCGCTCACTGTGTGCTGGGCACCAGTTAAAGTGTCCGGGATTCAGAGAGATGAATGGCTGTTTTGTTCTCAAAACAGATAAATATTGCAAGAGAGATAAGCTTAGGATATTATGGGAGAACAAAGGATAGACAAAGACATCCATATATTGAATAAAATGGGGTGATGATGGGGGTGGCAGAATCTTCCCAGGGTGGCCAAAAGCACCTGAATCTCGAAGACCATGTACTAAATTGTAATGTCCCCCCAGCCAAACTGCTGTACCAAATGGATTACATATGAAACGGCTTTGTAAACAAATTTTTGCTCTTAATGTTGTTGCTAGTAACCTTTGTCTAAGGCTGTACATTGGCCCTTGCTCCTCTGAGCCTCTAATTTCAGGATGGTCTGTTTCTTTTCTCTACCCATGCAAAGAAAACCCCAAACCTTCAAACTCTAACCTCAAGCCTGAGACCATGGGTAGTGGGTTTAGAAGAATGGAGAAGCCGGCTGTGGGCAGAGCCTTGGAAAATAGCTGCTTCTGCAAAGAAGGATGACTCCCATTGTCAGACCGGCCCCTCACAGTGTTGTCAGGGGGAGGCTGGCGAGAGGCTCTCACAGAAAAACACAAGAAGAATTGCTGTTAAAAATATTGTGACAAGTTATATGAAGCACTGAGGGATATTCCTGAGTTTCTCAAGAGCGAGGCAATCGTTCCCACAGTCATAAAAGTGCCTCGGCAAGCAGGGACAGTAAATGTAATAAAAGGGGGGAAATGTTGTCTGAGCTCATAAAGGAGGAGGGTGATTGTGTAGTTACAGACCTTCATAAACTCCTTCAACACAGTAGAGGGAGAGAAACTGGGTCAGCAGACGATGCTAACCTGGACAAGCTGGGCCAGTGGAAAAACAATGGGACCGTGTCATTATTCTAGTGAATAAAGGCAGGGCCTCGGGGGAGTGACTTGTCATTTTAGAGTCAGCACAAGACATATTCCAAAAGTAGAAAACTTACTGGACTAGGGATCCGGAGACCCGGGCTCTGGACCTGTTTTTTTTCCGAGCTATTGTGTGGCTTAAAATAGTCACTCAATATACTAGTCAGGGTAATTAACTCCAGATGTTACAACAAACAAATCCATACTCTTAGCATACTGACACATTAAACATGCATTTCCCTATGATATCATCATGCAATGTGGGTTAACAGAGGGCTTTGCTCGACATGGTCATTCAGGGGCCCAGGCTGATGGACATACTGCCATTTTTAAGCACATGATTCTCAAGATCACCCTGGTATTAACCTCTAACCTGCCAATGGGAAAGAGAGAAAGGGTGTTGAGGACCACAAAGGATATTAGGAATCTTGGGACTTATAAACTAAAATTACAAATTATCTCTTTCTCCTGATGTACGATGGTGGAGCAGCAACAGAAATTCCACAGTAAAGTCTCACGTTCACAAAAGAAGGCACATAATAGTCACGGATTCATAGCAATGTGGGAATCCTGTAGTGCAGACACTGTGAGCTTCCTTGTTTTAGGACGGGGGAGGCTCCCTAGACTTCTGCTCTGCTCTTTGGGCAGAATCATGATGT